AAAGATGACTCTTAAGACTTACAAAGGATTATCACAAAACTCGATGACTGAGCAAGAAAATGCCAGATGAAATTCAGTGTTGATAAATGCAAAGTAATGCATATTGGAAAATATAATCCCAACTATACATACAAAATTATGGGGTGGAAATTAGCTGTTACCACTCAGGAAAAGGATCTTGGAGTCGTTGTGGATAGTTCTCTGAAAACGTGTTCAGTGTGCAGCAGAAGTCAAAAAGCGAACAGAATATTAGGAACACGACAGGCAGAGTTAGAGAGAGTACCACGCCATGACCGAACTGTCTTCATGGGAGACCTGAATGCCAAGGTCGGTAAGGACAACACAAACAACGATAGCGCAATGGAAAGACATGGGTGTGGCACTCTGAATGAAAATGGAGAAAGGCTTGTTGATTTCTGAAATATGAATGACCTAGTTATCGGCAGAACCCTATTTGAATATCATGAAATTCACATGCTGACATGGTGTTCTCCAAATGGCAGAGATAAGAACCAGATTGACCATATCATGATCAATGGCAAATGGTGACACTCACTGACAGATGTGAAAGTGAGAAGGGGTGCAAATATCATAATGTCATGCATAAATCCATGGAATGACCAAACCTTGAATACTGTGTGCAGTTCTAGTCGACCCATCTGAAAAAAACTATTGGAATTGGAAAAAGTACAGAGAAGGGCAACAAAAATGATTAGGGGTATGGAACAGCTTTCATCTGCCTATCGATTAAAAAGATTGGGACTGTTCATCTTAGAAAAGAGATGACTAAGGGGGGATATGATAGAGGTCTATAAAATCATGAATGGTGTGAAGAAAGTGAATAAGGAAGTGTTATTTACTCCTTCACCTAACACAACAACCAGAGGTCACTCAATGAAATTAATAGTCATCAGGTTTAAAACAAACATACCGAAGTACTTCTTCACATAACACACAATCAATCTGTGGAACTCATTGCCAGGGGATGTTGTGAAGGCCAAAAGTATAACTGGGTTCAGAAAAGAATTAGATAAGTTCATGGAGGATAGATCCAACAATGGCTATTAGTGAAGATGGTCAGGAACGAAACCGCATGCTCTGGCTGTCCCTAAAACTCTGACTTCTAGAAGTAGGGACTGGACTGGTGCTAGATCACTTTATAAATCACCCTGTTCTGTTCATTCCCTCTGAAGCATCTGGCTCTGGCCACTGTTGGAAGACAGGATACTGGGCTAGATGGACCGTTGGTCTGACTCGCTGTGGCCATTCTTATGTTCTTATGAATGATGGCACCTGCTATACAATGCATTTGGTGTTGGTGTGGTAAAAGTTCCATCAAAACCTGGAAATGATAGCTCCGCCTCTAGCAGTGATGGTGAGGTGCTGTACCGGAACAGGACATGAACAGGGTTTCCTGCCTCAAACAGCAATGGCGTTGTCTCAAACACGCTGTAAGCAATGATATCACCTCAACGGAGCCACGTCCATGGTCTCCATTTGGCCCATACTTTCTAAAATTGCACTCCTTTGCCTCTCCTTCCAGTCGCAGTCTCATTGCTGGTCACACGGGGGTGCCACAGACCAAAGAACCGGAGTGGCATCAAATGCAGAGGACCATTCCATTGGCTGTTCTCTCAGCTCCTTTGCATTTATGTTTAGTCCTAAGTTAATTCTGATGCTCTGGGGGTACGTCTACGCTATGAAATTAGGTCGAATTTATAGAAGTCGGTTCTGTAGAAAGCGTTTTTATACAGTCGATTGTGTGTGTCCCCACACAAATGCTCGAAGTGCATGTAGTCGGCGGAGTGTGTCCACAGTACCGAGGCGACCGTCGACTTCTGGAGGGTGCACTGTGGGTAGCTATCCCGCAGTTCCTGCAGTCTCCGCCGCCCCTTTGAATTCTGGGTAGAAATCCCAGTGCCTGATGGGGCTAAAACATTGTCGCAGGTGGTTCTGGGTACATATCGTCAGGCCCCCCTTCCCTCCCTCCTTCCGGGAAAGCAAGGGCAGACAATCATTATGCACCTTTTTTCTTGAGTTACCTGTGCAGTCGCCATACCACCCGCAAGCATGGAGCCCGCTCAGCTAACCGTCACCGTATGTCTCCTGGGTGCTGGCACACGTGGTACTGCATTGCTACACAGCAGCAGTTTATTGCCTTTTGGCAGCAGACAGTGCAGTATGACTGGTAGCCATCGTCGATGTAGTCCTGGGTGCTCTTTTAACCAACCTCAATGAGGTTAGGGGCGCCTGGGCAAGCATGGGAGTGACTCAGCCAGGTCATTTCCCTTTTAAGTTTCGTCTCATGGCAATTGAGTCCTACCGGCAGTGCACTGTCTTTTAATCAGCAGCCCACAGAAGATGATGGCCAGCAGTCATAGAATCATAGAATATCAGGGTTGGAAGGGACCTCAGGAGGTCATCTAGTCCAACCCCCTGCTCAAAGCAGGACTGATCCCCAATTAAATCATCCCAGCCAGGGCTTTGTCAAACCTGACCTTAAAAACTTCTAAGGAAGGAGATTCCACCACCTCTCTAGGTAACGCATTCCAGTGTTTCGCCACCCTCCTAGTGAAAAAGTTTTTCCTAATATCCAACCTAAATCTCCCCCACTGCAACTTGAGACCATTACTCCTCGTTCTGTCATCTGCTACCACTGACAACAGTCTAGAGCCATCCTCTTTGGAACTCCCTTTCAGGAAGTTGAAAGCAGCTATCAAATCCCCCCTCATTCTTCTCTTCCGTAGACTAAACATCCCCAGTTCTCTCAGCCTCTCCTCATAACTCATGTGTTCCAGTCCCCTAATCATTTTTGTTGCCCTCTGCCGGACTCTTTCCAATTTTTCCACATCCTTCTTGTAGTGTGGGGCCCAAAACTGGACACAGTACTCCAGATGAGGCCTCACCAGTGTCGAATAGAGGGGAACAATCACGTCCCTCGATCTGCTCGCTATGCCCCTACTTATACATCCCAAAATGCCATTGGCTTTCTTGGCAACAAGGGCACACTGTTGACTCATATCCAGCTTCTCGTCCACTGTAACCCCTAGGTCCTTTTCTGCAGAACTGCTGCTGAGCCATTCAGTCCCTAGTCTGTAGCGGTGCATTGGATTCTTCCGTCCTAAGTGCAGGGCTCTGCACTTGTCCTTGTTGAACCTCATCAGATTTCTTTTGGCCCAATCCTCCAATTTGTCTACTGCACCGTCTTCTGCCGAGCACCCAGGAGATGACGATGGCTAGCAGTCGTACTGCACAGTCTGCTACCAGCAAGATGTATAAAGATAGATGAAGTGGCTCAAAACAAGAAATAGACTAGATTTGTTTTGTATTCATTTTCTCCTCCATCCCTCCATGAAGTCAACGGACTACTAAACCCAGTTTTGAGTTCTATCCTTGAGATTTTGAGTTCTATCCTTGAGGGAGCCATTCAGTTTCTCGCAAAGCCACGCCCTTTGTTGATTTTAATTCCCTGTAAGCCAATCCTGTAAGCCATGTCATCAGTTGCCCCTCCCTCTGTCAGGGCAACGGCAGACAATTGTTCCGTGCCTTTTTTCTGTCCAGACGCCATACCACGGCAAGCATGGAGCCTGCTCAGATCACTTTGGCAATCAGGAGCACATTAAACACCACACGCATTATCCAGCAGTATATGCAGCACCAGAACCTGGCAAAGCGAAACCGGGCGAGTAGGCGACGTCAACGAGGTGACGAGAGTGATGAGGACATGGACACAGACTTATCTCAAAGCACGGGCCCTGGCAATGTGGGCATCATGGTGCTAATGGGGCAGGTTCATGCAGTGGAATGCCGATTCTGGGCTTGGGAAACAAGCAGAAACTGGTGGGACCGTATAGTGTTGCAGGTCTGGGACGATTCCCAGTGGCTGCGAAACTTTCGCATGCATAAGGGCACTTTCATGGAACTTTGTGACTTGCTTTCCCCTGCCCTGAGGCGCAATAATACCAAGATGAGAGCAGCCCTCACAGTTGAGAAGTGAGTGGCAATAGCCGTGTGGAAACTTGCAACACCAGACAGCTACCAGTCAGTCGGGAATCAATTTGGAGTGGGCAAATCTACTGTGCGGGCTGCTGTGATGCAAGTAGCCAACACAATCAAAGATCTGCTGATATCAAGGGTAGTGACCCTGGGAAATGTGCAGGTCATAGTGGATGGCTTTGCTGCAATGGGATTCCCTAACTGTGGTGGGGCCATAGACGGAACCCATATCCCTATCTTGGCACCGGAGCACCAAGCTGCCGAGTACATAAACCGCAAGGGGTACTTTTCAATAGTGCTGCAAGCACTGGTGGATCACAAGGGATGTTTCACCAACATCAACGTAGGATGGCCGGGAAAGGTACATGATGCTCTCATCTTCAGGAACTCTGGTCTATTTCAAAAGCTGCAGGAAGGGACTTTATTCCCAGACCAGAAAATAACCGTTGGGGATGTTGAAATGCCTATAGTTATCCTTGGGGACCCAGCCTACCCCTTAATGCCATGGCTCATGAAGCCGTACACAGGCAGCCTGGACAGTAGTCAGGAGCTGTTCAACTACAGGCTGAGCAAGTGCAGAATGGTGGTAGAATGTGCATTTGGATGTTTAAAAGCGCGCTGGCGCAGTTTACTTACTCGGTTAGACCTCAGCGAAACCAGTGTTCCCACTGTTATTACTGCTTGCTGTGCGCTCCACAATATCTGTGAGAGTAAGGGGGAGACGTTTATGGTGGGGTGGGAGGTTGAGGCAAATCGCCTGGCTGCTGGTTACGCACAGCCAGATACCAGGGTGGTTAGAAGAGCACAGGAAGGTTCGGTGCGCATCAGAGAAGCTTTGAAAACCAGTTTCATGACTGACCAGGCTACGGTGTGAAAGTTCTGTTTGTTTCTCCTTGATGAAACCCCCCCGCCCCTTGGTTCACTCTACTTCCCTGTAAGCTAACCACCCTCCCCTCCTCCCTTCGATCACCACTTGCAGAGGCAATAAAGTCATTGTTGCTTCACATTCATGCATTCTTTATTAATTCATCACACAAATAGGGGGATAATTACCAAGGTAGCCCAGGAGGGGTGGTGGAGGAGGGAAGGACAAGGCCACACAGCACTTTAAAAGTTTACAACTTTAAAACATATTGAATGCCAGCCTTCTGTTGCTTGGTCTATCCTCTGGGGTGGAGTGGCTGGGTGGCCGGAGGCCCCCCCACCACATTCTTGGGCGTCTGGGTGAGGAGGCTATGGAACTTGGGGAGGAGGGCGGTTGGTTACACAGGGGCTGTAGCGGGGGTCTGTGCTCCTGCTGCCTATCCTGCAGCTCAACCATACGCTGGAGCATATTAGTTTGATCCTCCAGCAGCCTCAGCATTGAATCCTGCCTCCTCTCATCATGCTGCTGCCACCTTTCAGCTTCAGCCCTCTCTTCAGCCCTCCACTTACTCTCTTCAGCCCGCCACCTCTCCTCCCTGTCATTTTGTGCTTTCCTGCACTCTGACATTGTCTGCCTCCACGCATTCGTCTGTGCACTGTCAGTGTGGGAGGACAGCATGAGCTCAGAGAACATTTCATCTCGAGTGCGTTTTTTTCGCCTTCTAATCTTCGCTAGCCTCTGGGAAGGAGAAGATCCTGTGATCCTTGAAACACATGCAGCTGGTGGAGAAAAAAAAAGGGACAGTGGTATTTACAAAGATACATTTTATAGAACAATGGATACACTCTTTCACGGTAAACCTTGCTGTTAACATTACATACATAGCACATGTGCTTTCATTCCAAGGTCGCATTTTGCCTCCCCCCAGTGCATGGCTAGCCCCTCACCCTCACCCCTCCCCGTGGCTAACTGCGGGGAACATTTCTGTTCTGCCACAGGCAAACAGCCCAGCAGGAATGGGCACCTCTGAATGTCCCCTTAAGAAAAGCACCCTATTTCAACCAGGTGACCATGAATGATATCACTCTCCTGAGGATAACACAGAGAGATAAAGAACGGATTTTGTTTGAACGCCAGCAAATGTACACTGCAATGTTTTGTTCTACAATGATTCCTGAGTGCGTGCTACTGGCCTGGAGTGGTAAAGTGTCCTACCATGGTGGATGGAATAAGGCTGCCCTCCCCAGAAACCTTTTGCAAAGGCTTTGGGAGTACATCCAGGAGAGCCGCGAATGCCAGGGCAAATTAATCATTAAACATGCTTGCTTTTAAACCATGTATAGTATTTTAAAAGGTACACTCACCAGAGGTCCCTTCTCCGCCCGGTGGGTCCGGGAGGCAGCCCTGGGTGGGTTCGGGGAGTACTGTCTCCAGGTCCAGGGTGAGAAACATTTCCTGGCTGCCGGGAAAACCGGTTTCTCCGCTTGCTTGCTGTGAGAGGCAAGATGAGCCCACCGCCTTGAGTTCCCTCAGCGCCAGCTCTACTGCTGGGAAGGGCTGTATAACACCTGACCGAGAGTGTTTCATTTATGCTGAGCCAGCCCAAGAGGATCCCATGCATTTAGCAAAAACTCCCAAACCCTTAAATGCCAGCTGGCCTGTCAGCTCTTCTTTCCGCCAGCAGAACAGAGGCTTTGAGAAACAGATGCACTGGAGACCAGCATCCTTCAACCAAAGTTTCTACACACTTCTCTATAGCACCTCCTGCCAGGACAGTCTGGGACTGGGGCAGCTGGGAGTCTGCCCCCTGCACTCAGTGCACATGCCTCACTCCCTATAGCACCTTCTGCTGGGACAGTCGGACTGAAGTAGCTGGAAGCTCCTGTCACATCCACAGCCTGTGCTTATGTACCGTTCCTCACAGCTCTTTCTGCCATGAGGCCCTGGAACTGGATATCCTGGAGCTCCTGCCCTAAATTCCCTACCCATCCTCATCTAGCAGTGCCCAGAAACCTCCCCTGCTCCCTGCTACAGCACCTCCAAGTGATTAGCCAGTGCCAGCTCTGAGAATTAGCTAGATTCCTAAGGGTTAAATACACATACAGACTTTGTGCTGCTCCAAATCCTGAGCTACCCCCAGGTGGTACTCTGAATGGGGTGCAAAGGGTGGCTCCCAGGGGTGTCGAGAATGCTAGCTGGAGCTGCTCCAGTTATCACTACTCTGTGTAATCCAACAGAGGAGGAGAGAAACACAGTGTGAACCCAGCAGAGCTCTCACATGCATGCTGCCTCACCTCCCTGCACACACATACACCTCCCCACTGTCAGATACACAACCACACACTCTCATGCATGCACACACACACACACACACATGTGCTTTCTCATCCCCCCCTTACACTAACAGCACAGGCTGCTGGAATAGCCCTGTGGTTAGGGCACTTCCCTGGGAATAAGGATGAACCCATTAAAGATTCTGAGGGCCTCAGATACTACAGCAATGGGGGTGAGATAAATATCATTGCACACAAACAGCTGTCACAGCTATACACCCAAATTGGCCCTTCTTATGTGCACTTGCAGATCATGCACTGTCACATCACACACCTGTTGCACGAAGCACACACACTTACTTTGTCTGATGCCCCCATGATTACCATCGTGTGCACATGCAGACAGGCTGCAAGCACAGCATCTCACACGTGCATTCATAAACTGCCTCTCTCAGACGCAGACATCCCCTCTCTTTTAGTCATATCCCAGAGGGTTTCTTTTCCGCATGTCGTTCTGTTTTCCTCAACACTCCCACGCTGTCCTTGTGTGAACCAACAATTAGAGGAAACGGCTGTGCCGCACACACACAGCTCCGTCATCCTGTGGGATGGAGGTGTTACACACTAGAGTGGAGGAGAATGGGGCTGGGAATTGCTGGAGAATCCCCCTTAAAGCAGGGACTCCTCCTCCTTAATCACACGCTGCACCCCAAAGACAAAGAAGTCCAGGCCTCTGCATGAACATCTTGGTGGAGTGGGGCCTCAGCACTAGCCATCACCGCTGCTCTCTTTTGGCAGAGCGGGGGGCTTTCCTCCAGCTGCACTGAGATCCAAAAGCCTCTACCCAGTGGGAAATGGACCGCACAAATCCAGGGAACCAGGGAAATCTGAGGGGTTTCCTACTCCTGTGGGGCCCCTCGCTTGTCTTACTTGCCCATATACCTGCCACTGATTCTGACTCTTCCCTCACTGACACTTTCTCTGATTCCTCACTGGCCTCATTTGCTTTCACATCATTTGATCCCTCCTTTACTCATTTCCTCCCTCCGATTTCCCCTCATTACCTACTGTCCCCTAGGGTCTGGCCATCCTCACTTGTTCCCTCCCCCCTTTATCACCCCCCTTTGCTTCCCCGCTTATGTCTGTTGCCCTCCACAGCCTTTAGTTATCCTCTGCCTCCTTTTGCATCACTCCTTATGAGTGCATTTCCTCTCTCTCCCATTACCCTAGGAAGCTCTGTTAATAGTAACATGACAAGCCTCAATTCCTTTGGCTAGGACTGGAGATTTTGCTGGGCTTGGCAAAACCCTGCCCCTGGCAGTTTGGCTCCCAAGGATCCCCAGGAAACTGCATTGAATTTTCACAGCTCAGCTGCACGCATTTAGCTTGGAGGAAATTCACTGTTAGAGAAAGATGCAAAGCCCCAATTTGGCTGATTTCTTTGCTCAGATAAACTCCCAAACAAATCATGAAAATTTCTTCTCTTTTATTTTTGAAACCTTAGCATATTTGCCAAACCCAGACTGGACTGGGAGGAAGCAGGGACCAAAGAGGCAGATAGAAGAACCTGCAACTGCCAGCACAAAGCAAGGGAAATGGAGACATCCGTTCTCTTTCAGCGATCTTAGAATGGGAAGATCAGGTCAGTCAAACTAGGTAGGTGCAAAAGGAGAGAACACAGGACTCTTGGGTTCTATTCTCAGCCCTGCCACTAACTTACTTTGGGCAAGTCACTTCCTGTCTCTCTGCCTTAATTAGCGTATCTGTAAAATGGGGCTAGGGAAACAGTTTGTGATATTTAATGGCTTGCCCCTGTTGCATTTTGAGATTACTGAACGCAAGTTGCTACAGACACACTCGTAGACTTTAAGGCCAGAAGGGACCATCATGATCATCTAGTCTGACCTGCACACCCCAGGCCACAGAACCTTGCCCACCCACTCCTGCAGGAGGCCCATAACCTCTGGTTGTTACTGAAGTCCTCAAATCTTGATGTAAAAAACTTCACGTTACAGAGAATCCACCCCTTACTCTAGTTCAAACCAGCAGGTGACCCATGCATCATGCTGCAGAGGAAGGAAAACACCCCCCCCCCGGGTCTCTGCTTATTCTCAATTGGAACATTTAGAATTGAATGGAGGCATCTTTGACCCCAGCTCTCTGCTGACTACTAGACAACACTCCCTCCCAGAGCTGCAAAGCAAACTGAGGAGTCCTGACTACCCAGCTCATTGCTCTAAACCTTAGACCTCTGTGATGCTTGTGTATGTCCCTTCCCCTGCTGAGGCTTGCTGTGACCTCTGAGCATAGTGACCTCTGAGCATTCACCATGTAGCAAAAAAGAAATTACATGGCAGTGGAACAGAAGAGGGAAGAAAACAACATATGCCCTAGAAAGTCAGGGACCGTACACAAGGTCATGGTACCCTAGAGACCCCATCAGAAGCAGGGCCAGCTGCTATGCAAATGAGACCACACCTTCTATTCAAATGAGACCACACTTTTAAAAGGGACACAGTCATTAAAAAAAAAATACACCTTTTTTAACTCAAATGTTCAACTTATTTTACTCCCAGCAGCTGAGATTGTTGAAAGTGAAAGAACTTTTCAATCTCGTCCTTTTCACTGCTGATGCTGTTTGTTTCACTCAGCTTGTGGGGAGAGATAAGTTCAGCCTTGGTCTCCTGAGTGTGAACTAAAGCCATAATGGAAAGTTCCATGCTATGCAGTGCATGGACTCAGGCCAAAGAGACCACTACCTCAAACTTCATGGGATTCAATCTGTATCAGGAGGGTGATAAACTAGAAGTGAATGAAAGCCAGAGAGGGATTTATATACCTCCCTTTACTCCAGCCATTCAACCCATGATGGAGCCTTGAGCACATGGTTCCTTTCTCTCCTCCTCTTTCCTGTCTCCCTTCTCATTACAGCAATAGCCGCAGGGGGAAAGTTTGTCTTACATCTTCAGCCTATGTTCCTTCCCCTCAGGCAATCAAGTTAAGCTGCAGTGTCTCAGCAGTCAGCACTCAGTTAATTAGAGATGATGGACTGCGATCACTGCAAGCACCTGGCCGGCCAGCCTTCCTATTCAATGTAGGACTGCTGTGCCCACTTCAAGTGAACGAGCACCACTCCCCTGGGAGAGTAGCTCTCAGCTCCTCTTGTCTCTGCTGTGTGGCGGCAGTGGGCATCACTAATATATGACATAAGGAGCCTTTGGAATGCCATGCCCTGAAAAGAGGGTGGTGGGGAGGCTTATGGCATCGGGATCCAGATGGCAGGGCCCAATACAGCAGCTGGGGAAGGACAGCAATGGGTATTTGATGACAGCTGCATCACTTTAATAATAGCTAGGTATTAGCTGGTGGTGTTCATCAGGAGCTCCCAAAGTGCTTTACAAAGGACATCAGTATCATTATCTTCATTTTACAGATGGGGAAACTGAGGCATGGGGTGATGATATGACTTGTCCAGCATCACCCAGATGGACTGTGGCAGGTCTCAAAATGGAACTCAGGTCTCCTGAGTCCCACTTCAGTTCTCTGTGTTCTCAGACACACTGCCTTCTTCTTTAGAGACCATGGGCCGGTCTAGCAGAAGACTAGGGGTCAAGAGTTCCTAAGATTTAGCCCTGGTGCTGTCACTGACTTATGCAGTAAGCTGGAATGAGTTTCTGCATCTCCTGTCTACAAGAGTGACAAATCCATGGCGAGCTGGAAACTTCATGAGCGTCACTTGACTGTATAGAGTAGCTATGTCCTGCAGCAGCAGGCATAGACCTCAACTCCTCCGGGACAGCACCATTTTGGCTTGAAACACTGATCTCCAGAGCTGAAACATGAGCATTTATTGCTTGAACTAAAGAGCCAGTCTCTACAGCTGAGAGCTGTAACAGATTCACGTTCTCTGTGGATTGGACACAGAGGGGAGACATAGCACACATTGAGCAGTGCATTCCCCCTTCAGCCTTCAAGGTAAAAGGAGAATCTCTGTGAGCACTATAGGGCTTGTGACACACAGCTGAGCAGTTCTGATTCCACCCAACAGGTGAGGCAGCAATGCCACTTTCATACATTAGCCACTTCATAGCAGCCAGAATCCAGGGTCTCAGCTCCCAAGAGCAGGGCAGGCTTTTCACAGATTCTCCTGCCTTCCTAGGCTCTATGTTCGGGGTGTTTCTCTAGCAGATCCTCTCCACTAGACCCTTTTGGCTACTTTAGTGCTGCAGCCAGACTCTAATTTAGCCACATCCAAAGTGACTAGTGCCTGGTGTTAGGGAAGGGAGAGGGCCACTGCTTGAGAAGGAGCCAGGCTTTGTGGGGACCAAGCTGGGGAGGGAAAACCACTAGGACCTCAGGGAAATAGCCCCTTAGCCTCATTGAGTAAGGAGGAGCAGTGACACTTGCAGGGCAGAAAAAGGGGACAAAGCCCCAAGTCCTTTAAGGGCTCTGAATTATAGCCACCACTGAGCAGCGGGCTCCTGCTTTTTTCTGGGAAAAGGCTGGATACAGAATCAATGTGGCAGAAACACGTGAAGAAGATATTTAAGTCCCATTCGTAACCAATGCTGGCACTATGCTGAGGCAGTGATTCATTACTGACTCAGAGCCCCTCTGCAGAATCACCAGCACCACTCCTGCAGCAACCTCCCTCCCTGCCCTCATCTTAGTAACCTGCTGGGTCACTGGGTTCAGCACTGACTGAGACAGAGAGAAAGGAGAGTCCCACCTGGGTGCCCTCCACTCTTCAGATCTGGATGTGTTTTGACAGTGACATGACAGATCAGCCACTTGCCAAGAAGGGGAAGAGCAGTGTAAACAGTGCAGTGTGTTCGAAACCATGGCACACCAATACCTGGAATGTGTCAGCAGACTGGAAGTTTTCAGAGGGAGCCTCTGGGGAGGCAAGTCACCAGCAGAGACGATAAATGGTTTTGCTAGTAAATAAGGCGGCTGCTAAATGATTAAACGGGAGATGCCTTTAGGATCTTCCAGTCCCACTCCCCCTTCACCTCCTCTCCCCAACCTTCTCCTCATATCGCTCGCTGCTTCTGCTTGCAGGTTGAAGTGTTGGAGAATGACTAGTTTTCCACAGGTCCCCCAGCTCTCCCCTCACCTCACTGGAGATGTGAACTAAAGACTATTGTGAGTGTTGCCATGATGGCCAGAGAGAGCTTAATTAATCCCTTCCCTCCATTTAAAATCAGAGGTGTGGGAACATCATTCCTGCACATTCTCGCCCCACTACCTTACTGTACAAGAGCTAGGTGTTGCTACTATTATTTTGCAGATGGGAACACTGCAGCACGGACAGGCAGTGAGACGGGTCCCACAACAAGGTGGTGGTAGATCTGGGAATCAAATCCAGGAGCCCCAATTCCAAGTCCTGTGCTTTAACATAATCTCCTTGGCTTACGGCAGCAATAAGATACATAAACAGGGGTGAAAGGTGTGGTTTGAGCACAAGATTGGAAACCAGGAACTGAGTCCAGCTTAAACAATAACTCTGTGACTTGACATAAGTCCCTTCCTCTTCCTGTGCCTCAGTTTCTCTAAGTGACCTACCTGCTAAGAAGTGATCAGTTAGGTAATAAAACCCTTTGCAAATGAACAGCTCTGTGTAATGCTAAGTCGTGGTATGACTGTCAGTAGTGAGGAATGGGCGCTGTGGCTCAAAATCTCAGTTTCCCCTAATAAGTGACAGCAAGGAATGCTATTATGCCATCGGTCTGTAAACAGGGGGCTCAGAGACCACAGTGCAGACACTCAGCTCCCTCACATCATACCACCACCACCGCTTAAAATCCATTTGGACCAAAATGAAGCTGAATCATCCCAGAGCTGGCATTTTCCAGACATTTACCATCCAGCAGGGCAGGGAGGCAGCCTTCCCACCCACGTGTTCTGTTCTCAGGTACACTGTTGAAGGGCTGGCGCTGCCTACGCAACCCATTTACA